AAAAAAAAAAAAAAAAAAAAAAAAAAAAAAAAATCCTATTTTATAGAGGGGGATTGTTTAGGTCCCTAGGTTTGGGAGGATCTGGATAGATGGAATAGATTTGTGGGAAGGGTGGACGGACTAGATTTGTGGGAAGAGTTTTAGAGTGTTACACGCTTCAATTCTATTCTTTATCACCTACTTTATATTTCTCATTTCATTTTTTTAATACATGAAACAAAATTTTTGATTAACGTAATGAGATGATACAAGCTCCACGAGAGGTGAAAAATAAAGTAGTAAATAAAAGTGAAACATAATGAAAATTACGACAACATTGATTTCTAGCTAAGACATATCTTGTAAAGAGAAATCAATGTAAGACTTAGATAGAGAACACCATGAAGAAGTCTTGAGGTGAGCAGATTGGAAACGATCTAACCAAGGAAGACACTTGTTATGAAAAATCCTTTGATTCCTTTCAAACCACAATTAAAAAAGGAGAGATTTAATGAAGATAAAAAAAAAAAAACGAGAACAACTTAAGCCAACAATGCCTAAAATAAGGACAGGTGCATCTGGGAGTTTCTGATAAAAAATGGTCAAGAATATATATGTATATAGTTTCAATTTCACAAAATGATAAAAGAGTTTCCAATTGAAGAGTACAAATTTGAGATAAAAAATCAATGAAGGAAACTTGTATTTTTCGATCCCCACTTTTAAGCATTGAAACTTGCATTCCATTCCAAACAAATTTCTCTTCTCTGCCAAATACAATTGCATCAACTCACCCTTTACAACAGATCTAATTTCAAGCTCATGAGGATATAGCTCATTTTTTCTCCGAGTTAGCATCAAAACGGGCAATTCTGATATAAGGCTTTTATCGTGTATTCTTTTTTCTTCATGTACTGCAAACCAAACTTCTATAACAACTTACAAATTTCTCAGCTTGGAAGCTATCGCAAAACCAACTCAACCATAAGAACGATTGTTAAGAAGAAACAACCATGACTTCAATGGAAAAATGGAAGCCTATTGGTTAGCATCATGGAGAATTTAACTTTCTTGTGCTCAATTGGTGTACAAATTCATCTTTTGCGCTTTCACTGAGAGAAATGAAAGAATATACAAGAGTTCAGAAAGAAAGTCCCAACAAAAAAGGGGACTGACCTTAACTACAGAAAAGGACTCTAATTTCTGAAGAATCAGAACAAACTCATTATACAAAAAGGTGTAGTGATCAATATCTATAAAGAGACGTTAAACTTAGCCACCTCCTAAACTTCCTTACCCATTCTCTCAATCTTTTTAAAAGTTTTATTATTTTTCTCAATCTAAGTGTCCCACAAAAGAGAAAAGAAATTAACTTGCCACAAAACTTTGCCCTTCTCTCTAAAGGGAGGAGTCATAAGTACCTCCTCCAATTACCTTCTCTATTTTGAGCCCAATGAACAAAGAACGATTCCAACCAACGACTCCAAAGGTAGTGAGCAAATTGACAATCCAAAAACTAATGATTAAGGTCCTTCTCATGCCTCCTACAAAGTATGCACCATTGTGATATGAAATGTAGGAACGATGCCTTTGAATACGATCCATGGTGTTAACTTCTCCACATAAAACCTGCCATGCAAGCACCTTAAATTTGGAATTTTAACCTTCTGGGCAAGGAAAAAGCACAGGGGGAGAAGGGGTAGACAAGATCTAAAAGAATGAATGTCCAGATAATCCCCTAGAAGGATTAGGGGGCCAAATCTTAACATCGCTGCTGTTATCCTCCCTATAGTGTAAAAATTCATCTTACTTCCACAAGTATCGTTTTTCTTGGAAAGATATCTCTTCAGTTTCCCTCCTTATTCTAGGTTGTTAAGTGCTCTATTGGGTTGATTCTCATACCTATTTTTGGGAGGTTTGGTGGATGTGGAGATTTTTTTTGAACAAGAAACAAATTTTCATTGATAGATGAAGAAAATACAAGATGCTTGTCGAAACAACCTCCTAAAAGGAGAAAAAGAAAAAAGACCAAAAGTTGCCCCCTTTTGCCCATTTGTACCACCTCTCGACTATGAAATCACTGTATGTGGTCTCTATTTTGCTGTCATCTGGCGAGTTTTCTTCTTTTGGTTTTGAGTTTTCTTGCTTCCTCTCGATAGGGTGTCGTTGAAGGTTTCTATCGTTTACTTTTGAAGGACATTCATATTCACTGAGGGAGAGGGATGTTTGTACCTGTATCCTTTGCTTATCACAAGCCCTTCTTCTAGTTCATTCTTCTATCCTTTGACTGTGCCTTTGCTTCCCCTTGTTGCCCCACCATTTTCCTCAATCTGTCAAGTTAAGATTCCTAAGAAGGCAAAGTTCTTTGCTTGACAAGCCTTACATGGAAAAGCCAATACTTTATACAACGAGCTTAAACACTTTTTGGTGCTCTCTTTGTAGAGGTGCTTTCAAGGACCTTGACCTTATCCTATGGAAATGCCACTTTGTTTTGTCAATTTGGTCCAAGTTCTTGGATGTTTATGGTGTCTCATTGGCGTGGAGTAAGAACTGTGGGACTATGATTGAGGAGGTTCTGTTGAATCCTCCTTCATGAGAGAAGGCCGAAATCCTTCGGCCAACTTTTTTTTTCCTATGTATTTAAGACATTTGGCTTGAGAGGAATCATTGGATTTTCAGAGGGGATGACAGAATTCGAGGGGGAGTTGTGGGAGTGTCTTGACTAGGGGTTCAATGTCTAAGGATTTTTATAGTGTTATCAATTAAGTTTATTCTTTTGGATTGGAGCCCTTGTAGCTTGTTGGATTTTTTTTTTTTTTTTTTTTTTTTTTTTTTTTTTTTTTTTTTTTTTTTTTTTTTTTTTTTTTTTTTTTTTTTTTT